TGCCGGAAAAGATTTCTAAGCGTCTGCCTCTCAAAGTGATCGAGGATTTTCGATGTCTACATTTGTTCTCTATAAATGAGCTGATTGTCGATGAAATTCCATCTTACTCTATCTATGTAAATTCTAGAGTTTTCCTGTTTACCTTCCACTCTCCGTCCTACGTAACCTCTACCCTAAATTATATTTTTCACGAGGCCAATGACTAGCAGAACTTTACGTATGGTGGATGCAGAAATAATATTTTATTTGGAATGCAGATATATGGACTACCAAGTGACGGAAATATTATTTTAGATTCTGAATTTTATACGTCGCTGTACATATTAATATGAAAACATTCTTTTCCAATACCAAAAATCTGCATTTTTCAAATTGTATTGTCAAAAGTATCACATCCCAGGTACGTAACATAAAAGTAATGTAAAAAGTTATTTCCCTTTTGAAAGTAAGGTAAGCCAATTTTTTATTCCCGTCCAGTATTATTAACACATCCCGATTAAGTACTCTTTTTCATTTTTCAGAATAACATTGGAATTTCTTAATATGCTTTACTTGAGTCAAACACTTCCAGATGAAAGAGATTAAATTGAAAAATAATGCTTAAAATGTCAATAAAATTTTTACTATTATTACTAATCAAAATGAACAAATCAAGAATTATTTATATGCGTTCTGCGTTATATATGCATTTACATTAACTTCTTTTGTATCCTTATGGAGTAAGTGAATAATTTGTGTGTAATAATTAATAATATTCTCACTTATTGATAGACGGAATTACACGTTCATTAAACGATGATTACTTGTAAACACTAGCAAAAAATGTCAAAAAAAAAAATAAAATAAATAAATAAAATAAAACTATACTACAATACTAATATAGAAATGCATGGCTTAAATTTGGAAAAGTTAATGTTTATGATATAGAAAGGTATGTCATTTATTCGTAGAACCGAATATTTATTTTTAGTGATATCCAAATATATTTTTCTCTAGTAGAATTTTTGACATTGTGATACTTTAAAAAGGGAATGAATACTATTTAACATAAAGGGATAAGAACTTTTACTAATAATATTCAATGACATCGCAAAAGTCAAAAGTTTATAATAAGGCAGAAAAACAGATATCGAACGAATTTACTATTATCTTGATGAAATGAAAATGAAAAAGTTTTTAAAAACATAGTTAATTGTATATAAATTATATCTTTATATATTAATTGTTTATCAATTTTATTTTATTAATTAAATAAAATTTATCAATTTTAGAAATTTTAATTTTCAAAATATTTTTACCAAAAATATTTATTGGATAGTTATACATAATTAATATTAATAGACATCAATTTAGTTAAGCCAGTGAAAGAAATTATTTAAATAAATAGTTTACATAATAATTCACTACATTTGATTTTTTAATAAATAAAATTTATAAGTGATACAATAGAACAATAAATGTAGACGAAGATTTCAAAAATTTCTTAAATTGCAAATTCTGTTTTTGCAAATAATTAGTTCATTAATTTTACGTATATTTGGTTGCTTTTTGATTTCATATTATCTTTTTTAGTAAAAACATAATTAATACACACTTACAATATTGTTATATTTAAGACTATTTTATTATTAATGGTTCTTCATTATATTTTAATTTGGAATAAATAAACTCATTCATGCTTTCAAATACATGTACGTAATAAACGAAATATATATGTCCGAAAAATATTTAAAAAGACTATTACTCACCATGAAATGGATAATGTTGGCTGACACCTTAATTCCTATAATAAAATATTTCCAACACGTTCAAATAGTAGAATATTTTTTTTGCAATTACAGCTCAGATATTAAGATTTCTCTGAAAAATATAAATAGTAGATGAAAAAAATTCAAGAATTTATACATGATAAGTATAATAAATTTAGGTTAAGATTTACTATAATAGATTAATATGATACAGTGTCAAAATTGTTTATGCATTGATATAATTAATTTGAAAAAATATAACTGTAAATTTAAATGAATTTATATAGTTATTAGATAGTTGTATATAATTAATAGTTAATAGACATCATTTTATTGAGCTATTTAAAAAAATTACTTAAATAATAATTAAATTTCGTAAATTTGATTTTCAAATAAATAAAATTTATAAGTAATATAATAGAATAATAAATGTAAAAGAACATTTCAAAAATTTCTTAAATTGCAAATTCTTTTTTTGCAAATAAATAGTTCATTAATTTTACGTATATTTGGTTTCTTTTTGATTTCATATTATCTTTTTTAGTAAAAACATAATTAATACACACTTATAATATTGATATATTTAAGACTGTGTTATTATCAATGGGTTTTATACGAAATAATATATGTGCAAAAAATCTTTTAAAACACTATTACTCACCCTTAAACACATAACGTCTTCTCATTATAATTGATTTGAAAAAATATAACAGAAAATTAACGGACTTTAGATTACAATAGTTTTGTAATTCAAATCATTAATGACAATCGACGAGGAATACCATTTCTCTTGATATTACTTGAACTATTATAACAAGAAAATAAGTAACGTTAAACATTATTTGCTAGACGTCGTAGTTTTGTACCTTATTTTTTGAGATCGAAACATTGTTTATATAAATAAACTTTTAATAATACATCTGTGACCACAAGTGCATTGGAATAAGTATTTATTACAAAAATATTCGACTATACTTATGCAATGTCAGAATGGGGAAAAATTTCTGCAGGCGGAGTTAAAATTGATTAGATATAAGATAAGCATATTATCGCTCGTCACGTATGCGCATTTGTAATTCAAACGTACTAATATAGACGCTTTTCCACAGAAATAGTAAAGGGTACATATGCATCTAAGCGATAAATAATAAATGTATCAGATGTATTCTATTAAAAAGTGATAAATAATAAATATTGCAAGCATATTGTACTAGAAGTTTCTTATTATTACTGCGTCAGCAAGGCCCTGGACTTTATGAATGCTTAAGCAACGATGAAAGCTATCTCGCAGCTCGATTTTTCTTTCTTCTTTTCATCCATTTTTTTACAACGGTCACACGTGTTTCGATTGGAAGATGAACATGGATGAGCGGATTTCGAAGGGCAATTGCAATAAAGATGCAGTTGCTGCCTTTAGATTGACCAAATTTATAACTTGGCCTTTGGGTGTTTGGCCTCTGCGTTGCGACGATTTATTCTCACGGATTCGCTTTTATGTCTGTGTTATCTTCCAGGTGATTTTTCATTGTATCAATCATATTTTCCTTTTTTTACTTTACAAAATTAACTCCAACAAAATCTTCTTTCAATATGTTCCATTACATTGAATCTACTATGTCATTTCGAACGACCGAATGAAATTAAACAATTAACTACTGTTATTACATGTAATGAAAACGAGTTTATTTTAATACTTTAGATAAACATTTTCATATAATTATATTTTATTTTTTTAATATTATAAATTATCTGTATGATTATATTTACTCTTTTTGTTCTTTATATTGAATGATATAGCCTATCATTTTTTAATAAAACAAATAATCTTTTAAGCTGATACATTCCATAGTATATTTATAATTTTTATATGAAGATAAATTTAATTCCAAATAATTATATTTATTATGAACGATTACTATTGTTGATATTTCTATTATAATGAAAGGAATTTATTTAATATTAATATTTCTATTTGATATTACTGAATTCAAGTATTTACATAGTTGAGAAATTTTTATGCTAATTAAATAATATATTAAAAGATTCTATTATAATATTTAATATTGCTATATTCTAATTAAAAAATATTGAACATGATGTAGTTAAATTTAATGTTACATAATGTAATATATTGTATAATTAATTAAGTTATGAATTAAATATGAAATATATTGCTGATTATATTCTTTGTTTTTATTTTAAGTTTTGGATTTTGTGGGAACAGATATTAATAACTATAAACAAATGTGGAAATTTGGATTCTTACGTAGATGAAATTTTGATAGTACTTTGTTCAATTATGGCTCTATCAAAAATCGTAGCACTGTGGATTTATAAAGATAACATGTATACAATGTGTACATCGATTTATGATAATTGGATTAACATTACAGATAAACGATATATGAAAATTCTTAGGCCATTAACAAAAATTGGTTGTTTGTTGGCTTATCAACAGTTAATTATTACTAACATCCTAATTATGATAATTCTACTGCAGCCTTTAAAAGGTCATATAGTTATGTACGCATCTGAAGTGAACAATAAAACACAATGGTTAGAGAATTTGACTTTTAATAATAAGGACTAATAATATTTCAATAACTATAAATAATAAGGATGGTAATATAAAATATTTATAAATCAAAATAAAAAAATATATAGAAAGTACATATATACACTTACAAAGAATAAGTTTATATATAAAGTATAGATTGGTTTATATATATAAAAATCATATGTAGGCTAATTCTCTTTATGTTGTTCGTTGTTTAATGAAATAACAATTTCTCAATTTTTATTTTATGATATTGCCACTAATAAGTGGCATCAAATTCGGAAATTATTTTTAAAATGCTTTTTCTAAACTCTATCATATATACGATATAACAAAGGACCGCTTTCGATAAGAAGGATGAATATTTATTTTCGATCTTTAAACGTTCTTTAATTGAGATATGAGTTCGAACGAAAATTATAAAAGTAGCATCCATTTAAATATAAATTCTAATACAATTTTTATACAGGAAAAATACATCGGATTTCGAAATAAAACGATTACCGGCACATTCAGAATGCATATATGGAATACTACGAGAGCAAATTTATGTTTTAATATACGTTTTAGAATCCATTGGACTTTTTATATGCGGACAAGGTAACCTAGGCATTAGTATACTTTTTTTCATGCTAACAATGTTTATCAGTGGGCATTTTGCGGTATTGAAATATGATATTATGAGAGTAAATACAAATTTGAAAGAATCAATTAATTTGGAAGAAGAAATTCATTCGATAGTTGAGAGACATAGCAACCTGCTGGATTTAGCCGAAATACTAAATAATACGATATCAGAGATGATACTGCTAGATCTTTTATTAAATTGTGGACTAAACTTAGCCGTAGGTCAGTAATGCATATTATTTACAATCGTACATAGAAAATATTGTAAAATAATTAAATTTTTTAACATATTTTCGTAAAAAATTTATTATATCAATATATACATCTGCACATAATTCGCCTCAAAAGTCTGTTTAAATATTCATTCATTGAACCCGAAAAATATATATCATACTTATAATTCAATACATTCCTTAAATTAGTAAAAAAATTAGATTTAACAAAATTCAGAAATGTTGAAAAAATTACCCTAATCACTGAGCACATTTAGATAAATACACATTTTTAAATATATTCCACTTTATTTAACAAATAATACAAATAATAATAATACTTTGCTCCTATTTTTATATAATTACTATCAATGTTCAATAAGCTCAAACGTTTAGAATAAATACTTATTGAGGACTAAATTTCAATAAATTATTAGTCAATTTTAAGTTAAGATAAAACCTAAATCATAGAAGTTTAAGAGCGTTTAAGACTGAAAATAATTTGGAGGAAAATAATAATTAATAATCCATTAGTTAAACTCCATATATGAATACATTTAATGTTTATTTAATACGTAATATAAATTAATAGCTTATTAAATTAAACTTTTACTATTAATTAAATTAATTTAACGCTAATTTTAGTTAAGATATAAAATGTTAAGCTAACTAATGTTAAGATCTTAGAAAAAAACAACATATCTTTTAAACATCACGTACAATATAAACTAACACATATTCCATTCATTTATAATTTAGCAACTTTATATTATATAAACATTTTACGGCATAAAATTTTTCTATAGGTATGCAGATATTAATAGCTATGAAACTGGGCCAAAATATAACGAGATTCATTTTATGTTTTACTGTATTAATGTTGCAAGTATTTTTATTGAATTATGCTGGCGAAACTCTCACTACTCACACAGAAGCTATACGAGATTGTCTGTGTACTATTAATTGGTATGAATTTCCACCAAAGATCCAGAAAGATATATATTTTATGATCATGAGAGCACATAAACCAATTTATCGATTAGCTGGACGATTTTACGTGTTGAATTACGAGAATTTCACAAACATAGTCAAAACCTGCTTTTCAATATTCAATATATTTCGTTTGATGTTTGAAGTTTAAATTATAAGAATTTTTCAAAAGGAAAAAACGATTCATCATAATAATATTCAATAATCAAGTTGGCTTTGAATGACATTTTTAATACAAAGAACTACCATAAAATAATAATTATTTGAATAATATAGAAAGAAGCAAATTTACTTTTATGGTATAAGGTCTTATTATACTAATTGTTTTATTTAAAATAATCTAAATACGTATGAATTTCAAATATATTTATATGAAAGTACATTTATACGTTTAAATTGACATATGAATTGAGTTATATGTAACTGAATAAAATATCATAATCCAAATATCGTAAGAAATAAAACAAATTTATATTCTTTCTCGTAAGTTTATTATTGTATATATATTTTCAGTAATCAATTACTCTATTTTTAAAAGATCAATAATAATTGTGAATTGTAAACATATACATGAATGTAATATGCAGTAGGAAAATCTTTATCATATTCTATTATATATACATGGTTTGCATATATATATATATATATATATATATATATTTGTGTGCTCATGTGGGCTATTTGTGTGTATATTTGCGTACGCGTGCATGGGTGCATAAAATTTTATTTGTGTGTGTGTGCGTAGGTGCGTGCGTGTGTTGTGTAGATATGTTCGTATAATAATTTAAGTATCATTAAGTTAATGGTAGTCATTGGGTAATTATATAACAAATTATAATTTATTGTAATATATATTATTGGTGATATTTGTAATATGAGAAATTTTCAAGTATTTCCTAAGTTAGATTAATTTGCATTAATATAGATAAACAATCGGAAGATCGATAATCGATAAAAACAGAATAGATATTGCAATTTAAATTGAATATCCAAATTGTTGTATAGCCGAGAATAATTCGGTGACGAATCTCGGATTTCTAATAAAGTTTGAGAATTTTAATATATTTTCAATAGTTCAAATATTGGACATCTTCCAATACAATTTATATTGGATTCGAAGATCTATGATCGAACGACCGATGCCGGAAAAGATTTCTAAGCGTCTGCCTCTCAAAGTGATCGAGGATTTTCGATGTCTACATTTGTTCTCTATAAATGAGCTGATTGTCGATGAAATTCCATGTTACTCTATGTATGTAATTTCTAGAGTTTTTCTATTTACCTTCCACTCTCCGTCCTACGTAACCTCTACCCTAAATTATATTTTTCACGAGGCCAATGACTAGCAGAACTTTACGTATGGTGGATGCAGAAATAATATTTTATTTGGAATGCAGATATATGGACTACCAAGTGACGGAAATATTATTTTAGATTCTGAATTTTATACGTCGCTGTACATATTAATATGAAAACATTCTTTTCCAATACCAAAAATCTGCATTTTTCAAATTGTATTGTCAAAAGTATCACATCCCAGGTACGTAACATAAAAGTAATGTAAAAAGTTATTTCCCTTTTGAAAGTAAGGTAAGCCAATTTTTTATTCCCGTCCAGTATTATTAACACATCCCGATTAAGTACTCTTTTTCATTTTTCAGAATAACATTGGAATTTCTTAATATGCTTTACTTGAGTCAAACACTTCCAGATGAAAGAGATTAAATTGAAAAATAATGCTTAAAATGTCAATAAAATTTTTACTATTATTACTAATCAAAATGAACAAATCAAGAATTATTTATATGCGTTCTGCGTTATATATGCATTTACATTAACTTCTTTTGTATCCTTATGGAGTAAGTGAATAATTTGTGTGTAATAATTAATAATATTCTCACTTATTGATAGACGGAATTACACGTTCATTAAACGATGATTACTTGTAAACACTAGCAAAAAATGTCAAAAAAAAAAAATAAAATAAATAAATAAAATAAAACTATACTACAATACTAATATAGAAATGCATGGCTTAAATTTGGAAAAGTTAATGTTTATGATATAGAAAGGTATGTCATTTATTCGTAGAACCGAATATTTATTTTTAGTGATATCCAAATATATTTTTCTCTAGTAGAATTTTTGACATTGTGATACTTTAAAAAGGGAATGAATACTATTTAACATAAAGGGATAAGAACTTTTACTAATAATATTCAATGACATCGCAAAAGTCAAAAGTTTATAATAAGGCAGAAAAACAGATATCGAACGAATTTACTATTATCTTGATGAAATGAAAATGAAAAAGTTTTTAAAAACATAGTTAATTGTATATAAATTATATCTTTATATATTAATTGTTTATCAATTTTATTTTATTAATTAAATAAAATTTATCAATTTTAGAAATTTTAATTTTCAAAATATTTTTACCAAAAATATTTATTGGATAGTTATACATAATTAATATTAATAGACATCAATTTAGTTAAGCCAGTGAAAGAAATTATTTAAATAAATAGTTTACATAATAATTCACTACATTTGATTTTTTAATAAATAAAATTTATAAGTGATACAATAGAACAATAAATGTAGACGAAGATTTCAAAAATTTCTTAAATATAAGTAAAAATTCTACTAATATTTAACTAACATGAAAATAATTAAATATATAAATATTAAGATATTTTTCGTTCAAAATATATTAAAATGACTCAAAGTTTTAGGGACTTCTCAGAATTATATAAATGTCAACTTCAGACACATTTATTTATATTTATTTTTTTAAGTAATTTTACAATTTCAATAAATTATATTTTATATATATAGTAAGTAAATTAATATCTTATGATCATTAGATTAATAGAATATATTTCTTTATGATTGAATATTCATAAAGGCTGCGTAATAAAAATCTTGATGAAATGAAAATGTAGAAGTTTTTAAAAACAAAGTTAATTGCTTATTATTTATATATTATTATAATAATGATCGAATTCATCTATTATATACATTTTTATTTTTGAATTACAAATAAAAAAATAGTTATTAGATAGTTGTATATAATTAATAGTTAATAGAGATCATTTTATTGAGCTATTTAAAAAAATTACTTAAATAATAATTAAATTTCGTAAATTTGATTTTCAAATAAATAAAATTTATAAGTAATATAATAGAATAATAAATGTAAAAGAACATTTCAAAAATTTCTTAAATTGCAAATTCTTTTTTTGCAAATAAATAGTTCATTAATTTTACGTATATTTGGTTTCTTTTTGATTTCATATTATCTTTTTTAGTAAAAACATAATTAATACACACTTATAATATTGATATATTTAAGACTGTGTTATTATCAATGGGTTTTATACGAAATAATATATGTGCAAAAAATCTTTTAAAACACTATTACTCACCCTTAAACACATAACGTCTTCTCATTATAATTGATTTGAAAAAATATAACAGAAAATTAACGGACTTTAGATTACAATAGTTTTGTAATTCAAATCATTAATGACAATCGACGAGGAATACCATTTCTCTTGATATTACTTGAACTATTATAACAAGAAAATAAGTAACGTTAAACATTATTTGCTAGACGTCGTAGTTTTGTACCTTATTTTTTGAGATCGAAACATTGTTTATATAAATAAACTTTTAATAATACATCTGTGACCACAAGTGCATTGGAATAAGTATTTATTACAAAAATATTCGACTATACTTATGCAATGTCAGAATGGGGAAAAATTTCTGCAGGCGGAGTTAAAATTGATTAGATATAAGATAAGCATATTATCGCTCGTCACGTATGCGCATTTGTAATTCAAACGTACTAATATAGACGCTTTTCCACAGAAATAGTAAAGGGTACATATGCATCTAAGCGATAAATAATAAATGTATCAGATGTATTCTATTAAAAGTTTCTCGTTATTACTACGTTAACAAGGCCCTGGACTTTATCATCGCTTAAGTAACCATGAAAGCTTTCTCGCAGCTTGATTTTTCGTTATTCGTTTCTTTCTTTTTTTACGACGGTCACGCGTGTTTCCATTGGAAGATGAACATGGATGAGCGGATTTCGAAGGGCAATTGCAATAAAGATGCAGTTGCTGCCTTTAGATTGACCAAATTTATAACTTGGCCTTTGGGTGTTTGGCCTCTGCGTTGCGACGATTTATTCTCACGGATTCGCTTTTATGTCTGTGTTATCTTCCAGGTGATTTTTCATTGTATCAATCATATTTTCCTTTTTTTACTTTACAAAATTAACTCCAACAAAATCTTCTTTCAATATGTTTCTTTACATTGAATCTACTATGTCATTTCGAACGACCGAATGAAATTAAACAATTAACTACTGTTATTACATGTAATGAAAACGAGTTTATTTTAATACTTTAGATAAACATTTTCATATAATTATATTTTATTTTTTTAATATTATAAATTATCTGTATGATTATATTTACTCTTTTTGTTCTTTATATTGAATGATATAGCCTATCATTTTTTAATAAAACAAATAATTTTTTAAGCTGATACATTCCATAGTATATTTATAATTTTTATATGAAGATAAATTTAATTCCAAATAATTATATTTATTATGAACGATTACTATTATTTCTATTATAATGAAAGGAATTTATTTAATATTAATATTTCTATTTGATATTACTGAATTCAAGTATTTACATAGTTGAGAAATTTTTATGCTAATTAAATAATATATTAAAAGATTCTATTATAATATTTAATATTGCTATATTCTAATTAAAAAATATTGAACATGATGTAGTTAAATTTAATGTTACATAATGTAATATATTGTATAATTAATTAAGTTATGAATTAAATATGAAATATATTGCTGATTATATTCTTTGTTTTTATTTTAAGTTTTGGATTTTGTGGGAACAGATATTAATAACTATAAACAAATGTGGAAATTTGGATTCTTACGTAGATGAAATTTTGATGGTACTGTGTTCAATTATGGCTATATCAAAAACCCTAGCACTGCGGATTTATAAAAATAACATGCATACAATCTGTACATCGACTTTTGATAATTGGATTAACATTTCAGACAAAAAATATATCAAAATTCTAAAGCCTTTCACAAAA